TTATGACACTGAAGTTAGCAGACGTCTAAAAATTTTTGATTTTTTTTTTTTTAATTAAATTACAACTAAAAAGATATTTCTAAAAAAATTGCACTTATAGTTTTTCAAGTTTTTTACATGTGACAATTTTTTTTTTTAATTTTTTGATTGAAATTTTTTCAATAAAAAAATTCTAAAAATTTTGAAATGTCAACTAACTTCATTTTCATAAATATTTATATTTTGACGTTTTCAAGATAGACTTTCAAAGGAGTAGTAGTTGAACAATCAATTCTAACAAGCCTTAGTAATTGAACGCTCCGGAGCAGTAGTTGAACTAACAAAATATATGGCAATATATAGGAACACCAAAAATTTTCCACGTTTTATTGAAATATCTAAAAATTTATAATAACATATTATTGAATAATATTAAAAATAATACTATCAATATTTAATATGTTCATTTAAAAGTGATAAATATTTGTATTTAATTTTTTAATAACATTTTTTATGAATGACAAAGCAAATTTTCAATTATAAATAAAATAAAACGTTCAATAATTTTTAACTAAACATGCCAACTTTTAAGTTTACAAAAATATCATTGTTTTGATTTATAATTGAAAAAATTTAGAGAAATCAATTACTGTATCATTTAATAATTATAATATGCACATATTACTCATAATAAATTTACGGATTATGTATTATAACAATTTGAAAAGCCTGTTCAAGTACTGGGTAAGTACTTATTATTTATCTTACATCTATTTTCAAATTATACGGTAAATAATTAATTTTTATTCGTCCAAGTTATGATGTTACTAGACATACACCGTAAGTATATCCCAAAAAATTTATCAATTATTTCTTACCATTTTTATCAGATTATCTTTTGGATTAACTTCGTTCAAATCTTCCATTAGAATTCCAATGAATGTTACAGGTATGTATATATAAACACGTTGCACTGTTTCTATATACTAAAATTTTTCTGATCAACAACTAAATATATACTTCCTAGCTAGTGTAGCCAACTTAAAATTTTTAACCACCGCCATATTGTCGGCAAAGTATATCATATTTATTTTAGTAATTTTAAATAGGGATTGAGAAAGAACTGTAGAGGCAGCACTACTGCTGAAAGTGGAGCGCCCTGGTGTTGAAAATGTAAAGCATAGTGATGTAAACAGTGTAATAAATAGTATTAGTTGAAATAAATAATGAAAAAAATAATTAAATTCGGGTTCTTGTCCGTCAAGTCAAAAATACCCATATTAGGGGTCAAGATGACATAAAAGGAAAAAAGTTATTCGAGTCAGGACACGTGTTTCGAATGGTGTAGAAACAGAAGATTCAAATAAACATTAAACCATAACCTGCTCAGTTGACACTCAAACCAAAGTTTCCGATATTTACAGTATAAAAATTGATGTAAGTTGATGAAGTTTTTTTAAAATTATTTTTAATATTCGTTAATTGACGAAATTTATAATTAAATATAAACTTTGTAAAAATATATTATACTAAAATTAGCCGATGTTCAGCAATTCTTGCATTTGTTTCAACAATTAAATTGCAAGTAAAAAAATACTTTTAAAAATTTGCACGTATAATTTTTTAAATCTTCGACATGTGAAATTTTTTATTTTGATTTTTTTAATAAAGAAAATTATAAAAATTTTCAGATGTAGGCTAATTTAATTTTGATTAAAAAAATGAGACTGAGATCAGCTGATGACATTTGATAATTTTTTAAATTTTTATGGCAAATCAATTATCATAAAAAAAAAATCTTTTGAAAATTTGTACAAATAAGTTTTTTAAATTTCTACATGTGGAATTCTTTTACTATAAATTTTTTAATAATAATTGAATTGTTATAAAAATTTGAAAAGTTGTAAGATGTCTTTTGATTCAGTATCGTAACAAGTTTCGAAGTCTTGAATTGAATTTTTTTTTAATTTTCAGTGGAATAGAAAAACTTGATAATAGTTTTGAAGAAGACATTATGAAAAATTATGTTAATTTAATTAAAAAAATAATTAATTTAACAAATATGTTATTGTTTTGTATACTAGTTGCCACCACTTTATTTTACATTTTTCTCGGCAGGTGGCGTCAAGGTCATCTTTCTCAATCCCTATAATGTTAAGAAAAAATTGAATTTTTTTTTTTAAAGTCAGAAAAAAATTATTTTTTAAGAAAAAAAAAATAGTAATGACATTGTGGCTGTGGTTTATAAATAAAATAATTATTATTTTTAATTTTATTAAAAATTTATTGCTTTTTAATAATAAATTAACTAAGTCAAATGTTAATAGTAATGATGTCAATGTTAAGGTAAGAAAAAAAAAAATTATATTAAAGTATAAACAAGAGTAAAGAAAAATAAAACGACTTTCTGTCAATAACTGATTTGTAAATAAAATTTTTATATTTTTACAAAAAAAAATTATAACAATGTTAAAATATAAATAAAAATTTTTTAAAACTTACATTAAACAATTTTTACTAATATTCAGTTAGCTATGTATTAATTAATTAATTAATTATATTAATATACGTCCAATAAATTTATAAAAATTCAGTAGAATATTAATATCAAAGCACGTAATTTAAAATTAGGAAAAACATGGATTTAATTTATCTAACTTAATTTAATTAAAAAATGCCATTAAAATTGAATGAAAATTATTTAGCCGATCAGATCTCACTCACATGCATTAAAAAATTATTTTAATTACTATGAAATTTAATTGATATTTTTATTGTTATCATGAAGAGCCGAATTCGTTCATCCACTTGTCATATTTCTCAAGATCTTCTTGTGAGACGCTCTTATTACATCTTTCAATGGCTTCATAAAAGTCAGCTGCTGATACTGGCAAGTCCAATTCTTCTTTAGGTAATTGCCGAATTTGATCGGGTTTTAATCCAGCTATTTTTTTTCTCATTGACATCATAGAAGCATCCCTTAAAAAATACAAAATTGTTTAGAGATATCGAATTATTATTTTTTTTTTTCAAAAAAAAAAAATATAACAATTTACCTGCAAACATTTGTGATATCTGCACCAGAGTACCCAGCAAGTTTTTTCGCAACCTCTGTTAAATTAACAGATGGGTCAATTTTAACGTCGCGTAAATTTATTTTTAGCAACGACTCACGACCTTCGCCTGCAAGATTAATATTTATTTTGTTACTTGTATTTAGGGCCAGGATTGTTTTTTAATTTTAAAATGATTAATAACTAGCAACCTTGCAGTCACTACGTGACTGCCGTGACTTGTGAACTACAAATAAAGTTTTGTTTTATTAAATAATGACTTTTGGTAAATTACACTGTAATTTCTTAAATATTGTCATTTTTAAAGATATAAGCTCATCCTGATGTTGCACTCATCAAGAGCTTTCATTTGAGTACCCACATGCATTTTTTATATATTTTTCATATATACATATATATAATATATATAAATATATGAAATATATGAAAAATTGATGTGGGTACTCAAATGAAAGGTCTCAATGAGTATAACATCAGGATGAGCTTATGTCTTTAAAAATGTCAATATTTCACAAGATACAAGGTTATTTCTTAATTATTGACCTTTTTTTAAGATATAAACTCATTTTTATGTTACACTCATCGAGACCTTTCATTTAAGTACCCACATGGCATTTTTTATATATTTTATATATATGGTATTTGTGAAATATATAAATATATAAAATATATAAAAAATTGATGTGGGTATTCAAATGAAAGGTCTTGATGAGTGTGACATCAAAATGAGCTTATATCTTTAAAAATTTCAATAGTTCACAAGATAGAAGGTCATTTGTTAATTATGTATCTAGAAATAAAGCATTTTCGAATGCAGCCTAATTAAATTTATATGTACGTAAACTTCAAGTATCATGTCGTCTTATGTACCGTGACTAAAACTCTGGTAAAAAAAAAAAAACTTTTTTCTTACTATTTGGTAGTGGAATGTATATACGTTTTTCCAATCGTCGTCTTAAAGCTTCATCAATGTCCCATGGAAAATTAGTTGCGGCTAAGACCATAACAACTTTGCTCGGATCATCACTAAAGAGGTAAAATTGTTAAATGAATAATGAAAAATTAATTATATTTTTTTTTGGTAAGTTAAAATAACTTTTAGTGATTTAAAATTAATGATCATTTAATAAATAAATGAACATTCATTTATAAAATTCATACCTATTAGAACTTATTCCATCCATTTGAACAAGTAACTCTGATTTTACACGCCTAGATGCTTCATGTTCAGACTCGGATCCACGTCTTGAGCACAATGAATCGATTTCATCGATAAATATTGTACTTGGAGCATAAAATCGGGCCTAAAAAATAATTTAATAATTTAATTTTCAAAGCTTAATAAATTTTAAGTTATATTAAAATTATTTTTGTATAATTATTTACCATTTCAAAAAGAAGACGAACAAGTTTTTCAGATTCACCGCGATATTTTGATGTTAACGTCGATGATGATACATTAAAAAATGTTGTTCCACATTCTGTAGCAACTGCCTTGGCTAACATTGTTTTACCAGTACCTGGTGGTCCGACCATCAAAACTCCTTTCCATGGCCTTCGAATACCCTAAAAAATAATATGATAATCTGTATTATTAAGAGAATAAGAAAATTTTTGTCTCCTAGATTTATAATTAAAAAATGACCTTGTATCTTGTGAACTATTGAAATTTTTTAAGATATAAGCTCACCCCGAGGATACACTCATGGAGACCTTTCATTTGAGTACCCACATCAATTTTTCATATATTTCATATATTTATATATATCTTTTATATATGTATATATGAAAAATATATCAAAAATGCATGTGGGTACTCAAATGAAAGCTCTTGATGAGTATAACATCGGGATGAGCTTATATCTTAAAAATATATATTATATATATATATATGTATATATGAAAAATATATCAAAAATGCATGTGGGTACTCAAATGAAAGCTCTTGATGAGTGTAACATCGGGATGAGCTTATATCTTTAAAAACGTCAAATTTTTTTCTTTATAATTTATTATATACCTTAAAAAAATCTGGCATCCACATTGGCAGAACCACGGCTTCTTCTAACAATCGTTTAGCCTCATGAAGATCAGCAATATCATCCCAGCGTATATTTGGATTTTTTTGTACAATATCACGCTCTAAATAAAAATTAACAAATTTATTATTTAATTTAAAAACGTCATAATAAAATAAATTAATTAATTACCTAACAAGTCAACTAAATCACGATCATTTCCAGAAGACTCAAATTTTTTCTCTTCTACTTCAACATCAGTACGGTCATTATCATTTTTTTCTTTCTCATCTTTTTTGAAATTTTTTTTATCTTCTTTTTTATTATTATTACTATTTCCCTTAGTATCTGGTTTTTTAACAGCTGTTGATGATGTTTTACGTGGTGCAACACGATTTTGAGGTTTACGAATTCCATTTTGTGACTTCGGAGTTCTAAAAAGAAATTTTTAATATTCTTTTACGGTAAAAATACGCATTTTTTTTTTTTAATTTGACACTATTAATTATTAATTGTTATCCTGTATATAATTATGAATAATAAAAATAATTACTTCTGTTCACCAGGTGCTAAAGGAGGCCACACGTCAGGATCACGTGTTTGATGTGCGTTCCATGATGATCCACTGGAAGACCATAAACTTGAATCTCTTACTGATTCTTCATATTGTAAACAAGAGGGACCTAAAACATCAAACATTTTATTAATTTATGCACCATTAAATTAAATATTCTAAAAAAAAAATTTTAATTAATAATTCTATAAAATTTCAAGATATTTATATGAAAATTAAGTTAGTCGACATTTAATAATTTTTTTTATTAAAAAAATTATTACAAAAAAATAAGAAAAAAAATTAAATTTGTAAAAACTTTAAGTGGAATTTTTTAAAAACATTTTTTGTTCCAATTTAATAAATGGAAAATAATAAAACAATTAGAAACGTCGGCTAACTTTTAACTGAAGTTTACAGACATTAAAATTTTTTTTAGTGATTAAATTATTGTGAAAAAAATTTAATAAAAAAATTCCACATGTGAAAATTAGAAAAAAATTTTAGAAGCATTGTTTTTATTGTAATTAATTTATTATAAAAATTTTTAAAATTGACAGCTGATGACTAACTTCAATAATATTAAATTGTTATCTTATCAAACTAAATTTGATAATAAATCTAAAAATTAATATTAAAATAATTAATACAATACCTAATAATTTTTCAGAAGGTACATCAACTTTAAACAATTGCGTAGCACGCAACGCTGCTGTAACTTTATCATATTCATCAACAATTTGATGCTGAACTAATTGCCACTTGGCTTTTCTAGCAGTGTCAGCAATTGTTGACAATAGTCGATTAATTTGTTGTATTACACCTTGATAATAAACACCTGATGTTTCGTAATTTCCAGTTAGAGCTAATTCACGTGCTAATTTTGTGTTGTCAGAAATTTCATTTAACGAGACAGCCATTTTTTAATTAATTTATTATTTTTATTATCCACTCGTTTTTTAATTAATTTTTGTTTATTTACTTTGATATGTACACATACACTGTTGTTAGATTCTGACCATTTATAGACATTCGAGATTTTTTTTTTCAGTCTCTCAGTCGCGCCATCTGTAATAATAATAATAATCATAATTATAATAAACATAAACAGTTAATTTTTAAATTACAGTATTTGCATACTTGTCAGTACAACATTTCTACAATATTATTTTTATTTATTAATTTATTATGCAAATAATTAAAATAATTTAATGATTTAGTAAGTACATAAAATGTATTTACATATTTTAAATAAATTATTCTTTCACAATTTTAAATAACATCAAAGCACTTAAAAATTTTTTACTTTAAAAAAATTACATTTTACAATTATTAATTTTTTACAATTTTTTTTTACACTAATTTATTTATTAAAAAAATTTTTTTTTAACTTAAATTTTATTTTATTGCATAACAATTAAATTAAAATCTTGATCAGAATTTTTACAGTTAACACTGAAATTAAAACATTAAAAATATTTTTATATTTTTCCTGTTAAATATTATAATAAAATAAATTAAATAAAAAAATTCCACGTGTTACTTTATAAAAATAAATAAAAAATTATTATTATAATTTTTTTAATTAAATAACAATTAAATTTTTAATAAAAATTGACAGCTGTCAGCTAACTTCACTTTTATAATCCCGCGCATGCGCAGTAAGTTATGCGCATGCGCGCCAGAATAAAGGACTGCGCAGCGTGAATTTAGCAGAGTGACACCAACCCAGCGGCCATTTTGTCAATTTACAGTAAACTTACAAGCCAAGTGGTACGTCAGCTAAAAAATAATATTTTAATTAAATAAAAAAGTGTAATTAAATAATAAAATTTATTATTAATAAGTAATAATATAATTTTAACATTTAAAAATAATTTTTTAGAAGATTAGAAGCAGTTTAAAATGACGGGAAAGCGCAGACATCAAATTATTGAAGAATCATCAGAGGACAGTGACTATTCCTACGATAATTCATCAAACGCAGCCTCCAACCCAGGAAGTGTCGAACAAAGTGAATTCCAAAAACGGAAACGCGGTCGAGGTCCATCAAAGCGACCGTGCTTGAATCGCAATGCTTTAATGGCGCGAGCTAATCGTCAAAAGAAAAAAGAATATGTGGAACATATTGAAAGTAAATTAATGCACTATCGTCAAGAAATAAAAGAATTAACCACCAAAAATCAGAAGCAGTGCATTGATTTAAAAAGATTAACAGCTGAGGTGTCTTATTTAAAAAATATCTTGAATAATAATTCGAGTATTACTTCGTTGTTAAAATCAATGAACGAAATTCTGTCAAGAGGTGGAAGGAAGGGAAAGGGGAAGGAGGGAGAGAGTGCAAAGTCCATTTGTGAGAAAGAAGCTGATGAGAAAGGTAATTTAAATAATCCCTTTTTACAAATCCCACTAGTGTCTGATCACAATTACAGTTCATCGCATTCTGATGAATTATTTGATTTTGAAGGGGTTAATTACAATCCTGACAACGGCCAAGTGTCCATTAAAGAGTCATCACAAGACAGCATTAAAATTTATAATGAGTTTAATAAATCACCTGTTGAGTCTATTGACAATATTGATTTAGGGATCAGCGATACTGATCTGGATCAGTTGAATTCTATTGACTTATTCAGTCAATTAAGCGATGACCTGGAGGATAATGAGCCCATTGACTTTTTAAAGTCGCAAAATTCTACAGTTGAGTCTTTGGATTTATTCAACAACCTGGACAACAATGGTATCTGCGTTCATGTTAACCCCAGGAGGATTTCTTTGGAATTTTGCTCGGCTTGTCATGTCAACAATGCTAATTCAGACGATCCTTGAATTGATTTTTAATATTTAAATGGTTTATTGTTTATCTTATGTTCGGTAATGTAAGATAGAAACTCGCTGTAATTTTTTTTTAATTAATTAATTAATGTACTAGGTTAAGGAATGTTGTGTAGAGTAAGTTTATTAGGATAAGCTGTTTATTATTATTTATGTAATTTTTTTTTCATTGTAAATACCTCCGAGACTGTACCAGTTATTTCATTTTTACAGGACTTGAGGCGGCTGCGGTTTTATTCTTGGAAATTTGGAATATTAGACAACATAAAATTAAGGTGGGCGTCAGTTTAACAATTGTTAATCACTTTTTTATTTGTACAAACGATTTTATTATCTTGAATATTTAAAAGTTGATAATTTTTTAGAAAATGGTTTATGATAATTTATTACGGATTAATTAATTAAAAAATTTTTTGGAGATAAATTCGTTTCAACAAATTAAATAGTGATTTTTTGACGCATTTTTTTTGTTAAATTTGTGTAATTAAGCCTTTTTGGAATGGTTACAGTTGTCGTGGCTGATGAATGGATCTTGAAGCAGAAATATATTAGATAACATCTATTATACTTTTATTAATAAACAGAATTGTTTATTAACTAACAGGTTGAGTATAATGTATCATAAAAATTTATTATTTTTCTATAAATTCAGACAAATTATTATTTAATTAATTTTTTTTTTCGTAAATAAATTAGAAGAAAAATTTCAATTTTCTGAGCGGGAAATTAAAAAAGAAAATAAAAATGTAAAAAAGTTTGAGTAGTATAATGAAATTTTTTTATAAATAATCAATTGATATTTGAAAATAATATAGAATAAATATAATTTTATTTTGTAATGCTTAATTTAAACAAAAAAAAATTTTTTTATTTTACTATTTGTATAATTAAATTTATTAGTTGGAAAAAAAATCATAATTTTGAGTTATAGATAAAAAAAAAAGTTTCAATTTTTAATTTAAATTAAGAAAAATTCTTGGATAAAATATTTTATGAGAATTAATTTAAGAAATATTCAATCATTTTTTTAATAAATGAATAACAGCAAGAAAAAAAAATTGATATAGAAATATAAAAAAATTTATAAATGTAATTTTTTTAAAAATAATTTTTCAGAAAAAATATTATTTTATTCTTTATAAAAAAAAAAAAAAAAAAAAAATTCAAAATTTTAAGTTATAGATAAAGAAAGTTTCAATTTTAAATTTAAATTTAAAACAAATATAAAATATTCTCATATCAATGGCTATTTAAGTTTCAGCTTTCAACTTGCGAAGACTGGTCAACAATAGCACAGTGGAGCTCCATTTATTTATTATATTTAGATAATAAATAATCAAGATTGTTGGTAATCTAATATTCAGAAAAAAAAAAACCGTCTCAAGTACCTACGATAAGTGATTTATTCTGAGATTCTATCCTGGTTAAAAATACTGATTGAAAGAAATTGAAAAGCCGTCACTTCATGCTGTACATAATAACAACAATAATAATAATAATTATTATTATTATTATTTCAGAAAAAAATTACTTGGATAATTTTCATAAAAAAATTTTTTTTTATCCAGTTGTTTTTTAATTATTTTCAATCAGTATTTTTAAACAGTATGTACATGAGAGATAATTTTTTTTGCTAACTGTGATATAATTCGTATTCATTAATTAATATAATAATTATAAAAAATATTTCCATTTTCATATTGAAAGAAATTTTATAAAGAACAAATATTTAAATTATAATTACTTAATGAATATTCTTTTTTAATTTTATTATCACTCAAATTACAGATCTCGGAGGTAAATATAAAATGTTTTTGTGTATTTCTTTGATCTACATAAATGTATTATTACAATTAAAATACATATTTTAATTAAAAAAAAATATTATATGTTAATTTTTATGTACAAATATTTTTTCTTACTAAGCTGTTGAATAAATAAGAATTTATTCAATCTTATATTTAAATTATTTTTTTTTTTGTTAATTCATACAATTTTAAACAAAATTAATGATTTAATGTAACTATAGTTTTTAAATGAATGACAAATGAAACTTTGCGTTATTTTAATAGTTATTAAAATATAAAAAAATACAATTACAATAATTTAGGTTGAGTTTTTATTGTTAGACAATGATATTCAAACACCAAGCCTACTGAAAACATCAGGTTTTTTTATGTGTGCCACAGTCGCTACTTTATTGAAGGTTACTTGCTTCATGCCCATTCCTAGACGTGCTTTTGCTGGTAGATTAGATGGTCGTTCTGAAGCTGTAAAAATTAAAAAAAAAATTATATTATTATTCATTTCAATTATGATTCATTTAAAAAATGCTCTATCTCTAGGTACATTATTAAGAAATGACCTTGTATCTTGTGAAATATTGGGATTTTCAAAAATATAAGCTCATCCCGATGTTACACTCATCGAGACCTTTCATTTGAATACCCAGATCAATTTTTTCATATATTTTATATATTTATATATTTCACAAATACCACATATATATAATATATATACAAAAATGCCATGTGGGTACTTGAATGAAAGGTCTCGATAAGTGTAACATCAAAATGAGTTTATATCTTAAAAAAATTTAATAATTAAGAAACGACACTGTATCTTGTCAACTAATGACATTTTTATAAAATATAAGCTCACCATGATGTTACAATTATCGAGACCTTTCGTTTGAGTACCCACATGGCATTTTTTTTTATATATTTTTCATATATACATATATATATATATATATCTTGTCAACTAATGACATTTTTAAAGATATAAGCTCACCCCGACAATATACTCATCGAGACCTTTCATTTGAGTACCCATATTGATTTTTCATATATTTATATATTTATATATGTATATATGAAAAATATATCAAAAATGCATGTGGGTACTCAAATGAAAGCTCTTGATGAGTATATCATCAAAATGAGCTTATATCTTTAAAATACATATTATATATATGTATATATAAAAAATATATCAAAAATGCATGTGGGTAGTCAAATGAAAGCTCTTGACAAGTATAACATCAGGATGAGCTTATATCTTTAAAAACATCAATATAAAAGTAATTATTTACTAAAAATTTTAATTTTTTAGAATTAACAATTTATTGCAGTCACGTAGTGACTGCAAAATTGCTAGCAAACATTAAATCCTCAATTTCTCTTACTCCCAAATACACAATTTATTTTTACAAATTCAAAACTTAATTTAGATAAAAATATTTTTAGATATTAAAAAAAAAGTTACTTAAAATAACACAAATAAAAGCCAGTACTATATTTAATCTAAAAAAAAAAATCTTGTCAAGATAAAAATAACTTCAACTCACCTAATTTATTATTAGGAATTTTCCTGGTAATAGACGTAACGCTATTCAATTTCATAGCTTTAGTAGTCCGTACAAGTTGTTTAATACTACTCGAAACAATTTTCTTCTTACTCTCATGATCAGCGTGCATAGTTCCCGATTTTCCAGGATTTTTAACCAATTTTATCGACGTAGTCCCAACATTATTAGGTTTATTTTTTAAAATGCCTTGAGGTTGATTTAATTTTCCATTAATTTCATTTTTTAAAATCCCAGCACTAACATCTTTTTTATCTTTATCTCCTAAGCGTTTAAATACACCAGAATTGCGTTTAACAACATCATTACCAATCCCGGTAATATTAAAAGTAGTACTATCAATTAAATTAGTAGTACTTGTAACTGAACTATCACCCAGTCTATCAAAAACAGTTCTTTTTTGGTCAATTAATTTCTTCTGAGTAACATTTAAAGATTCTTTTGTTACAACATTTGTCGGCCTATTCATAACAACTTTATAATTTATTTTACTCTCGTCACTTTTTAACCTTTTGTTCATTTTTAAATCTAAATCTTCGTCACTCTCGTCAGAATCACTGTCAATAGTTTCAATTTCAAGCTTTCTTTTTTTCGCTTGTAAATCTTCAGGTTTTTTTATCGGAGCGACAACTCTCGTACTGCCAACAGTTTTTTTTTTCAGTCCAGTAACTACAATATTAGGTTTTACCTTCAAATTATTTTTAGCAACAACTTGTGATTTAGTTTTACTACTATCCGCAATTTTTGATACATTTGTTACTTTAGAAGGTAATTTTTTAACAGTTGATTTTGTTGGATTTATTTTTGATAAATTATTGTCGGGATTTTTATTGCTTAATGATAAAGATGGGTCGACAGAGTCTACTAAAAAACGCTCGCAAGTCATCTCTTCACTTACTTTTTTAGCGTACCGTAATATTGCTATCATATCACCCATCAATACTATTCCCATTTCTTTTAAACTTGGTTTGTCTAAATCTGGTAACATGTCTGGCTTTATACGATTGTTGGAAAATACTACAGCGTGCTTTGTTGCGACGTCTAATGGAAATCCAGCTGCTGTGAAAAATTTTACCCAGTATGCTAAAAAAAAAATAAATAATTTAAATTATTTTATTAAAATTAAATTAGATTTTTTAGAATTATTTTTATTGAAAAAAAAAATTTTAAAAAAATGTCACTTGTAAAAAACTTCAAAAACTATAAGTGAAATTTTTTAAAAATATTTTTTCGTTTTAATTTAATTATTAAAAAATAATCAAATAATTAAAAACGTCGGCTAACTTAAGTATTATATTTTTTATTATTTTAAAAATTTTATTAGCAATAAAAAAATATTTTTAAAAAATTGCATGTTTAGTTTTTTAAATTTCTTACATGTGCAATTTTTTCTTTTAATTTTTTTGTAATTATTTTTAAACACTTTAAATACTGTAAGTGCAATTTTTAAGAAATATTTTTTTCTTCTAATTTAATTATTAAAAAAAAATAAAAAAATTAAAATCGTCGGCTAACTTTATTATTATGATTTTTGATTTTTATTAGCAATAAAAAAATATTTCTAAAAAATTGCACGTATAGTTTTTCAAATTTTTTACATCTGCAATTTTTTCTTTCAATTTTTTTGTAATTATTTTATTAATAAAAAAAATTCTAAAAATTGTCAGCTATTTTTTTTTAATTAATAAATTAAGTAAAAATAAAATGAGTAGTAAAATTGATGTGATATTAAAGTTAGCAGTCACTTAACAATTTTTTAAGTATATTTATCAAAAAAATTATTTTTAAAAAATTGTATTTTTTATTTTTTTTTATTTCTACAAGTCAATTTTTTTTTTTAATTTATTTTTGCCATAATTTATTTGCTATAGAATTTTTTAAATAATTATATATATGTTAAATTAATTTACTAATTTATTATTATTTATAGATTTTTTTGTTCTAATTTTTTCAATAAAAAAAATCAAAAAATTAGAAACTTTAGCTAACATTATTATTATAATTATTTTATAACAGATATTAAAAATTTTTTTTAGAATTATATAGCATTTAAATGAATACAAAAAAAAATTCATTAAAAAACTCCACATGTGAAAATTTATAAAAATAACAACTGAGAATTTAGAAGGTATTTTATTATTATAATTTATTTATTAAAAAAATTTTAAAAATTAACAGCTGACGGCTAACTTCATTATTATTTTACTGATATTTAATTTTAATAAATAAATATTTATTAAAATACTTACATGAAAGTGAAGATGCCATTTTAATATTTATATTTGTTGTTTATCTTTATTCTTCACACAGTTTATTTTTTTCTTCAATTTATTTAAACACTTATAAAAACTTTTACTTTTTATAATAAAAAAACACAATTATTTCATTATTAATTAAATAGTTTTTAATTATTTAATAATTATTAAATTGTCAGATTGGAGTTAGCCTCTAGGTTAAAATTTTATAGCAAAGTATATTTAGTTTTTAAGCTGCGTTTTTATGTATAGTTTAGTTCTCCGCCACGTGCTGCCCTCTGCAGCTGAAATTTAGCGGTAAAAAAAAACTACAAGTTGAAAATAGAAAAAAAAAAAGTAAAAAATGCATGGTCCTCATCCACGTCATTGAATTGACAATTAAATTTGTTACCATCAGAATTATTCACGTGTAAAATTAAAAAAATTAGTTTTTTATTTTTATTTGTCATTAATTTGACATAAATTTTTTTTTAAGTAAATAATAAGGTAAGATTTTTCAAAAATAAATTACATATTTGTTTATTTACAAAAATAGTCAAAAACTTATCTAGTTTTTGTTTTTTAAATGAAAACATATTGTTACTTTTAAGTGCTTAATTTTTTAATTATAATTTTTAATTATTAAGTAGTATTTACTTTAATTTTAAATTCAACTAAATTAATTTATTCAATGTTTACAATTGATAATTATTACTCAAATATTTTTTTTCTCTTTTCAGTAATTGAAAAAAAAATGGATTGGATTTTAAGAACTCTAATTTTAGGATATATTGTTACACTGTCAAGTAATGTTGAAGGACAAAGAGTTGCACCGGGTGTTCCACCCCAACATTATCAACAAGTAAATAAAAACACGTATATTTTATTTTATAATTAAATTTTTGAGCTAAGTTGTCACTTTTTTTCTATTTTATTAGCAAGTTCCACAACAACAAATGCACCAACAGCAAGTTCATCAACAACAGGTTTGATTTTATATTTTTTTAATAAATTTTGATGAAAATTTATTTAACAAATAAATAAATTAGCAATTTTGCAGTCACTACGTGACTGCAATGACTTGTACTCTATAAAAAATTAAAATTTTGGGTTATTGAATGATGACTTTTGTTAAATTGCACTGTACTTTCTAAATATTGACATTTTTTAAGATATAAGCTCATCCTAATGTTACGCTCATCAAGAGCTTTCATTTGAGTACCCACATGCATTTTTGATATATTTTTCATATATACATATATATATATAAATATATAAAATATATGAAAAATTGATGTGGGTACTCAAATTAAAGGTCTCTATGAGTGTAACATCAGAATGAGCTTATATCATTAAAAATGTCAATAGTTTACAAAATACAAGGTAATTTCTTAATTCTTGACATTTTTTAAGATATAAGCTCATTTCGATGTTATAGTCATCGAGATATATATATAATATATATAAATATATAAAATATGTGAAAAATTTATGTGGGTACTCAAATGAAAGGTCTTGATGAGTGTAACATCGGGATGAGCTTATATCTTTAAAAATGTCAATATTTCACAAGACACAAGATCATTTCTTAATTATATATTTAAAGATAGAGCATTTTCAAATGCAGCCTAAATAAATTTTTCAGTATCAACAAGCACCAGTCCACCAACAACCACCACCTCAACAACAACAACAACAACAACAACAACAACAGTATCAACAACCACCTCCACAACAACAACAACAACAACAGCAACAATATCAACAACCACCTCCACAGCAGCAGCAACAACAACAACAACAACACCAACAACAGCAACAATTCCAGCAACCTCCACCTCAACAACATCAGCCCCATAATCATGGACATACAGATCCACAACAAATACTCAACGCTGCTAATATAGCCCACGAAAAAGAGTAAGTTCTGGAGAATTTACATCTGATTTTAATTATTATTAATAATTAATATTTTATATTTATTTCAGACACATAGCAGAACATTTGGATGTTCCTATGGACACGAGTAAAATGACAGAGCAAGAACTACAATTTCATTATTTTAAGATGCATGATGCTGATAATAATAATAAATTAGATGGATGTGAATTGATTAAATCATTGATTCATTGGCATGGTAAATATAATTTTTTTTTTTTTCAATTTAATTAATAAATATTTGCAATATTTAATTAATTTTTTTTTCTAGTCTATCACTCTATTAAATTTTTTTAGTTACTCATAATAAAATTTGCAATTTTAATATTGAGTTAAAAAAATGTTTTTTTAATATTAATTTAAAAAATTAAAAATAAAAGTCTACAAAAAAAATATAACACTAAAATTAGCCAACGTTCAACAATTTTTGATTCTTTTTATTAATTAAATTATAAATATAAAAAAATACTTATAAAAAAAATTTTATTTTTATTTTTAGAAGAAACAAAAGATCCAAAATCGCCAAATGGGGAAGGAAAAATATTCCAAGACAAAGAATTGATTGATTTAATAGACCCGATTTTGAATATGGATGATACAAATAAAGACGGATATATAGACTATCCTGAATTTGTCCAAGCACAGCAAAAATCAGCTCCGAGTAGAGAAAATCATAAATAAAAAATTTTTGTACTAAAAAAATTTTTTTGCACTTTAATAATAAAGATTAAAATTTGTAATTTAAAATTTTTTTAATGTCAGTATACTTACTCGAGTGAATTTTAAAACATTTTCTCCGATTTTTATACTTGGATATTTTTTTATTTCTTGAAATTAATAGTGTAGAAGAAATAGCATTTTTTTAAAATAATAATAATATATTTATATATCAGTGTAGTAATTGATTAATATAAATTTTTTATATTTTCAATTTTTGTTTTCGTTTTGAATAAAAGTATCAATTTTATTTACAAGTTACTTGACTGCGCATGCGCAATCTTTTTTTAAAAATTACAATTCTAAAAAAAATAATAATAAACAAACTTAACCTATATTTTTAAAATTTTACAAACACTGATTGTTTTTGACAGTTCAATTGTTGGAATATAAAACAATAATAATTTACTATAAAATAGTTTTTTTTTATTAAAAAAAAAAAAAAATTGATAAAAAAATATAAATACATAAATTATTTTAATAAAATATAATTTTCAAAAATATAAAAACTAAAAAATTAAAATGACTGATTAATAAGAAATTCAAAATAATGATTAATAAAAATTCAATATAATTAGTTAAGAAGAAATAAATAATAAAAAATGGCAAATTTTCTAACAGCTGATAAATTATCAAAAAATTTAAATGACAATTTTTTAACAACCGGCTGCAGTATTATTGATAATTTATTAAGAGGAGGAATATCAAAACGTGGAATAACACAATTTTATGGAATCGGAGGTTCAGGAAAAACTCAATTAGCTTTGCAGTTATGCTTGACATCACAAATACCATCATTGAATGGTCATCAAGCGGGTAATTATTAATTTTTTTTTTTTTCAAAAATATAAAAGTTAGTCATTTAACAATTTTTTAATTTTCTTTAACAAACAAATTTATTTATAAAAAATTGCATTTTTTTTTTTAATTTCTACATCTTAATTTAAAAAAAAAATTTTTTTGCCATAATTTGTTACAAAAATTATTAAAATGATCAATCTGCTAAATTAATTTTCATAAATTTTTTTTTAATAATTGACAGAAATTTAAAAAAATTGACAAGCAATTTTTTAAAACAAATTCGTTTGTTAAAGATAATTTAAAAATTTTTAAATGTCATAATTTATTTGTCAAAAAAATTCTAAAAATAATTAAATATCTCCTAAACTAATTTTCACTTTATTTATTTTTTTTTTTTTTTTCAAGGCGCTAAAATAAGCGGTGACTTAACAATTTTTTAACTTTTCTAAAAAAATAAATTAGATTTAAAAAATTATTTTTAAAAAATTACATTTATAATTCTTTAGAGCTTCTAAGTGTAGAAAATTTTAAATACATTTTTTTTTTACAATTTAATTTAAAAAATTACAAAATTTCAGCAATATTTTTTTTATAAAAAATTTTTTTTTTTTCCAGGAGTAATTTATATTTGTACAGAAGCTAAATTTCCATCTTCACGCTTCCAGCAATTATTAGAAAATTCACCAATTGCTAAAAAATACAATCTTAATGGCAACAAAGTATTTATCGAGCATATATCTACAGTAGTAAGTATATTTATTTATTTATTCATTTAAAATAAAATAATTTTAATTAATAATATTTTTTTTTTTTATTTTTTTAAGAGCGATTTAGAAAAGTGCATAATTGAGCAGATCCCATGTATGCTGAGAGTAGAAAAAATAGGACTGATAGTAATTGATTCAATCGCAGCTCCATATCGCGTTGATTACGAATCAATTAATTTAAAAGATCGAGCAAGAAGCTTGCGTAACATTAGTAAAGCTTTACACAATTATTCTAGAAGCAATATTTCTGTTGTTTGTATTAATCAGTTAACAGCGGTGGTAGATAACTCTGCGATAACTGATCGAGTTTGTAATGATGGAAATCCAGCTCTGGGTATAATTTGGGCTTGTCAAATAACAAATTCATTATGTTTTTGTAAACTCAACAATCAACGTCATATTCATATCAGAGAATCTCCGTACTTGGCTAGAAAAACTTTTACTTTCTGTGTTGAAAACAAAGGAGTCTTCGGTTTAGAAGAAATTACATAATTATAGTTTTTTAATTGTTAATTATTTATTTAATATGTACCTTAAAAAATTAATTTATTATTCAGACTATTAATTTAAAAAGAATTAGTTTAAGTAAATAATAAATGTTAGAGAAATTTTCGTTAAAAAAAAATGAAAATTTTATAAAATATTAAGCAGTAATTTTCCAAAGAAAAATAGTGATGTAATTAAATTTGAATTAAATAAATTTTTATAAAATATTTTATTAAAAAATAAATTGTAAATAATTATTTTTATTTTATAATAATTTATCTATAGTATCAAAAGTATTACTATCTAAAGTATAAATAAAATTAATTGGTACCCATTTATTAAAATAATATTCGCTGTTAAAAGGATCTGATGTTTGAACATCAAATTTTTCAACTTCACTGTCCAAAGCTAATCTGTAAAAAAAAAAAAATAGTTATAAATTTTTTACCTAAATTTTCTAAAATAAAAAAAAAGTACAAACCTAAAAGAATGTAAAAATGTCCTATGAGGTTTTAAATCCTTGCGATCACTGTAAGTATAATCGCCGATAATAGTATGACCAATGTAACAACAATGTACTCTTAATTGATGTCTCCGACCTGTATTTGGCCGTAATAAAATTTTAGTCGCTGGTTTTCCATCGCAAAATCCTTTTTCTAGTACCAGTAATAACGTAGAGCTATCGCGAGGTTTTATACAATGATCATCATCGCTTGTACACATTTTTTTATTTCCAAAAATCTCTCTAGTATCTTGACCTGAAAATACTCAGTATTATTATACTTAATTATATTATTATTAAAATACTCATTAATTCTAATTGAATTTATAATAATAAAGTTAGCCAATACTTAAAAAATTGCACTTATAGTTTTTCAAGTTTTTAACAAATGAAAAACATTTTTTTTTTTTAGTTTTTTGTAATAATTCTTTAATAAAAAAAAATCATAAAATTTTTTAGATGTCGGCTAACTCTATTTTCATATTGAATTCATCAATTGATTAATTTTTTGACATACCTATTGGTCTATTTATTATTAAATATGATTCATCAATATGCCCATGGACTAATGCCAAGTAATATTTTTTGACTTGTCTTTTTTCAAATGCTGTTGATGCAGCACGTGCTGCATTTTTATTCAATGCTATACAAATTACTCCACTTGTTGGATAGTCAAGACGGTGTACAAAATGAAATCCATTTTTTAGTGATGGGTTTGCTAGAGATGGAAACATTTTTTTTAATTCATTTTCTAGAGTTTTCTGTAAAAAAAAAATTTATAAAATTTTTTCATAAAAATTTAATAAAAAATAATTTTTTTTTTTCTTACCTTGACAGTAACATCATTACTATTAACAACCATATCATAAGGTTTATTAATTATTAAATAATTATTACTATGATATAATATATTTGACTTAGTTAATTTATTATTAAAAAATAATAAATTTTTAATAAAATTAAAAATAATTATCATTTTATTTATGAACCACAGCCACACTGTCATTACTATTTTTTTTTTCTTAAAAAATAATTTTTTTATGACTTTAAAGAAAAACTCAATTTTTTCTTAACATTATTTAAAATTACCTATAACAATAAATAATTTATTTACTTTATTTAAACTCTGACAAATTATTTTTTTTTATTTGTAAATAAATGGTGACAGGTATGATAATTTTTATTACAGATGGCGCGACTGAGAGACTGAAAAAAAAATCTCGAATATCTACAAATGGTCAGAATCTAACAACAGTATCTATGTATATGTGTGCATATCAAAGTAAATAAACAAAACTTAATTAAAAAATACAAGTGGATTATAAATATCCTGATTTATTTAGATTGTACTTAATTAAACTTAAATTATTTAGACACATAATAAAAACATAAATAAAATTTAAAAAATAGCTGTCTTGTTAAATGAAATTAGCACGTGAACTAGCTTTAACTGGGAATAATTAAGAAACAGGTGTTTATTATATATAAAAGTGTAATACAACAAATTAATCGATGAACCTTCTGAAATATTATATTAATTATTTAAATATTTAATATTACATTTTTAGATAGATTATTATGATAAGATAAAATTTTAAAAAAATTTCCAAGAAATTTTTCAATTTTTTTTTTTTTTAATTTTTATCAAATAAAAAAATATACAGTTATCAATTTATACAGTTTACACTGTATTATTAATTAATTGTTATTTACTAATAATAATTAATTACTAAATTATCTATGAATTAAATATTCCTAATATAAAATTGAGATGAAATGTATGTGGCATCAAACTATTCGTAACGTGATTGGTCGAATATATCATAAGCATGAAAATATATGCAAACTCTATAGTCAAGGCGCGCGCTTGCGCGCGTAAATTCAAATTCTAGTTTAATAAAAAAATGGAGAAGTTATCAAGGGAAATAAAATAAGCTGATACCTATGAACGTTAAGTTTTTTTTTTTTTTTTTTTTTTTAAAAAAATGGAGAAGTTATCAAGGGAAATAAAATAAGCTGATACCTATGAACGTTAAGTTTTTTTTTTTTTTTTTTTATTATTATTATATAAAAAAAAAAGAAGCATCTCAATATTTTTTAATAAAAATGAATATTAATTTTTAATTTCGAAAATCTTAAATATTTATAAAAGTAAGTAATACCCAGTACTTGATATTTATACTTCGTTCATGGAAGTGTTACTCAATGTCGCACTGCCGTCGGTGGATGCCTCAGGAACTTCTCCGAATTCTTGGATCCACTGAAGGTGGAGAGGAGCGAGCCCAAGATTAAAAGTTTGGTCATATTTGCGAACGTAATCGGCTATTTTAAGGTAGTTTGTCTCTTTGTCTCTGAAAAATTTTATCAAATTAAAAATAATATTCATAAGATCACAATTATAATTAAAAAATTGCAATACTTTTTTGTGAGCAATGAAATATTTTAAAAAACATAGTTTTTTTTAGAATAAATATAAAATAATTAAAAAGTTAAGGCTTGTTTTCTTTACTTTAAAATAAAAAATTTAACAGTCATTACATTAAGTTAAAAAATTTAGATTTGTAAATATATAAGTTATGTACTTTTTAAGTTTATTATAAATTTTAAATGTTTTTTAAAATTTTATTAGTATTCATTTGTAAAAGTATTATAACTGCCCAAGGGATACAAATTTTTTTTTGTTAATATTTTGTTAAATTTAAGTTGACAATTATAAATTTATGACTTCTTGTTAAATATAATCTCCCAAAAAGTCAACAATTTTTTTTTAAATATTCATAAATACTTACGAAACATAATCTTCTTTCTTATGAAAAGGAAACTTAATGCATTGAAAGATATTTCCTATTATGTCTCTGTGCTCGGTTAAATCAAGAGCCATGGTGGATATTCTGTCTTTTATCTCCGGTGTGATTAATCCCTCAAGCTGACTATCGTAACTTTCAAGCTTACGATGAATCTCGTCTCGCTCGTTCATCATTTGCTCAATCAGCCCATTTGGAAGGGTGGGAAAATCTCTGGCCGGAAATTTTTCAAGTACTTCCTCTAAGGTGAAGTACTTTTCAATCTCTGTGACAAGTTTTAGGAGATATGTGGTTAGTTGATCAGGTAGCTGAAATCATAATCATTTAAATTATTAATACACTTAATAATAAAAATAAAAAAAGACAGAGATGACAAAGACAAAAAATACAAAAAAATTCTATTTACAGAAGCGTTATTATTTGGAATTTCAGGAGTATTTTCCATCTGGAAGCAAGGCAAAGAAAAAAAAAAAAAAAAAAAAAACAGTAAAAAAAAATTATTACAAAGCATTAAGCGATAATCTACTAAAAATTAGTTATTAAAGATAAAAGGTGAGAAAAAGAATCTGAAAATTTTTATGATTTTTGATATTAAATGATTGTCAAAAAATTAAAAAAAAATTTTTTTTTTTGTCAAAAAATTAAAAAACTAAAAGTGCAATTTTTTAAAAATATCTTAAATAAATTAAGCAAAATAAAAAAATAAAAAATGTCAGTTTACTTTATAAATACTCTATAAATATTTTTACTAAAAATTAATTTAATTAAATATTCAAAAAGTTATATTACATTAGTTATTATAATTATTTATTTTAAGTGATATTTGAATGAAATATAAATATAAACATAAATAATGAAAATTAAGCCAAAAATAAGACTAAGAAAATTAGAAAGAAACAGAATGTAGAACAGAATGTGACATGTGATATTATAAAAGTATATGAAAGCAGACATTATTATGCATTTTAGCTAATTAAATAAATGTTTAGTTGTTAATTAAATAAAGCAAAATCAAATAAAATAAAAGATATAAGAATAATAATATAAATTATATGAAAATTTATGATTAAATTTTTTAAAATATGACGATAATTAAATACCTTGAATTTAACGATGATCTTAATTAATTTAGATGTTTACTCAACTTAATTAGTTAAGTTCGATGGTTAGCCCTTGATTTATATTAATTAATTTTCTATTGTTGTAAATACAAAGCACGTGGATCTAGTCTCAGCGAGTGAATTGGAAAAGTTAATCGGTTAATCGGAGTTTTATTTTTTATTCCGAGTTGGGGCAGTGTGAGTATTAGAGAGCGCGTCCATAGCAGCACCTCTGGTAAAGTAGAGCGGAGAGCTCTACTTACTAATTTCCACTTATGTAAGTATTTTGTTTTTGCTGTCCACTAGGTGTCAGTAAGACCAGGTTATAAAAAAATAAAACAACACAGTTTGAGGTTAGATCAAATTAGAGATGTTGTTATATTATACGTGTAGTTGTTGATCAGAAAGATTTTTTTAGAAACAGTGCTACGTGTGTAGGTACACACCTGTAACATTTATTAGATTTTAGTAATGGAAGATTTGAACGAAGTTAATCCAAAAAATAATCTGGTGGAAAAGGTAAGGAATATTTGATAAATTTTTTAGGATATACGGTGTATGTCTAGTGATATCATAACTCAAACGAATAAAAATTAATTATTTATCCGATAATTTGAAAATAGATATAAAGAACATTTTTATTCAATTTTTCAATATAAGTATATTCTTGTTCGTCCAAAACATTAAATCACTAGCAACAGACTTTTTAATTTTAGTAATTTTAGACAAGTTAAAAAGTTAAAAATTTGTCAGAAAGTTCAATAAAATTTTTTAATAATTTTCAGGAGCCATGCAATTGTGGATATATGAAATGCTTATCGAAAGCAGAAAATCCAATAGCTACGTTGGAACAAGAAATTAGATGTTTATTTGGTGATATACTTACGATTCAGAGAAGTGTAAAAAGGCAGATAGACAGTATAAAGAAAGTGATGAAAAGAGTTACAGATGATGAGTTCAAGAAAGTACAGAAGAATTGGGCCTACGCGAAATATGGCTCTGGATCCGCTAGTCGCCACCTATATCTAGATCTTAAACGTATTGAAAATTGTAATAAAGCACAAACCTTTTTGAAGAATAACCAAGAGAATGAAATCTTTCAAAAATATTTATTGTGGAAGCAGAAATATGCAAAAGTCATACAAAAGTTTCTTTCGCTGGACGAAAAAACTTTTTACTCATACAGATGTCAAGTTTTACACAGTTGAATATTATAAATTCGATAGTTACATGAGCGAACGTATTAAAAATGACGAAAAGTATAAAGATCATACATGAATGCCTCAGAAATCGTCTGAGTTTATGATTTAATATCGTTAAATACTTGAAATTATCAAACATATAAGAAATTTACCACATAATAAATATTTTATACTTAAAATTTGAAAGCTGCCAATTCGTTTCTTCAAATTTATCGACTCTTAAAATTGAATTAAGGTAAAAGCCCCAATTATTGACAGTCTAAATATTAACACCCTAAATTATTTTTAAATATATTAATCGGTAATAAGAATAACTATCATAAATTTTTATCTCTAATTAATGAAAAAATTGATAAAAATTACTCAGTTGAAAATATTAAATATTAATTATTAAAAAATAAAAGCACCAGATCAAACCACGAAAGTTTATATTCTTAATAACTTTGATTAGAAAAGCATTTTTTTTTAATGCTGTTTAAATTAATTTCTTCATCTAATAATATGATATTTTTTTTTTTTTAATTAACAATATATGAAAAGCTTATAAAATTGAATAATCGAAATTAATTGTTTCCTTTATAATATTTAAATAATGGGTGTCAATAATTAGTTGATAATTTTTAAGTTGAATCTCATATTAACAGCCAGTCGACAGCGTTATCACGTCTTTTTTTTACTTTTACCTAAAAAATTTACTGCAAGAGTTTGAACTCTTCTGATTCAATAAATTAATTTTTAAATTTTTAAAATTAATTAATCATTCATGGAAATTATTATTAACAACCATATCATAAGATTTATTAATTATTACTATGATATATTTGACTTAGTTAATTTATTATTAAAAATAATAATTATTGTATTTATAAACCACAGCCACATTGTCATTACTATTTTTTTTTTCTTAAAAAATAATTCTTTTATGACTTTAAAAAAAAAAATTCAATTTTTTCTTAACATTATTTAAAATTACTTATAACAATAAATAATTTATTTACTTTATTTAAACTCTGACAAATTAACAAATTATTTTTGTTTGTAAATAAATGGTGACACTGTGCCGACAATATGGCTCGGCGGTTAAATACTTTATATTAAGTTGGCTAAACTGATGGCTAGGAAGTAAATATAGTTGTTGATCAAAAACATTTTTTTTTAGAAACAGTGCTACGTGTGTACCTGTAACATTTATTAGATTTTAGTGATGGAAGATTTGAACGAAGTTATTCCAAAAAATAATCTGGTGGAAAAGGTAAGAAATATTTGATAAATTTTTTAGGATATACGGTGTATGTCTAGTGATATCATAACTCGAACGAGTAAAAATTAATTATTCATCCGATAATTTGAAAATAGATATAAAGAACATTTTTATTCAATTTTTCAATATAAGTATATTCTTGTTCGTCCAAAACATTGAATCACTAGCAACAGACTTTTTAATTTTAGTAATTTTAGACAAGTTAAAAAGTTAAAAATTTGTCAGAAAGTTCAATAAAATTTTTTAATAATTTTCAGGAGCCATGCAATTGTGGAGATACGAGATGCTTATCGAAAGAAGAAAATCCAATAGATGCGTTGGAAGTTGACATTAAATGTTTATTTGGTAATATACTTGACATTCAGAGAGGTGTAAAAAATCAGATAGACAGTATAAAGAAAGTGATGAAAGAAGTTACAGATGATGAATTCAACAAATTGCAATACTATTGGGCGAACGCGAAATTTGACTCTGGATGCGCTAGTGCTCACTTATATCTAGCTCTTAAACGTATTGGAAATTGTGATAAAGCACAAACCATTTTGAAATATAACCAAGAGAATGAAATATTTCAAAAATATTTATTGTGGAAGTAGAAATATGCAAAAGTCATACAAAAGTATCTTTCGCTGGACGAAAAAACTGTTAACTCATACAAAGGTCAGGTTATAGGTGAATATTTTAAATTCAAAGATTACAAGAGAGAACGTATTGAAAATGGCGCTAAGTATTAAGCTCTTTAAATAAATGCCTCAAACAGCCACATCGTCTGAGTTTATGATTTAATATCGTTAAATACTTGAAATTATCAAACATGTAATAAATTTACCATATAATAAATATTTTATACTTATAATTTGAAAGCTGTCAATCCTTTTCTTCAAATTTATCGACTTTTAAAATTGGATTAAGGTAAAAGCCCCAATTATTGACAGGGGTCTAAATATTGACACCCTAAATTATTTTTAAATATATTTAATTATTTGTAATAAGAATAACTATTATATAAATTTTTATTTCTAATTAATTACAAAATTGAAAAAAATTACTCAGTTGAAAATATTAAAATATTTATTTTTAAGTTGGTAATATTAATGATTTTCACTTTTGATAAAAAAAACATGACAAAAATTTTTTTTTAAGATTTTTAAATCAATTAAATTTATTAAATCATTATGAAAAATATGTAATAAAAAAATTCCACGAGTTAAAATTAAAAAAAAACTTTTTTAAACATTTTTGTGTTGTTAAAAAAAAAAATGACAGCTGTCAGCTAACTTCAGTATGAAAAAACTCAATCTGAAAACAGCAGCTTGTTTTTATAAAAAAATAATTTTAAAAAAAAGTAATTATTAAAAAAATTGCACAGTAACATTTAGAAAATATTTTACACCATTAAAAGTAATTAAAAATTTTATTTAACATGTAAGTTAATTAAATAATAATTATTTTTTGAATTTTTCAGTGTCTACTGCGCAGAGCGACCTGCGCACTAAGACTAATGCGCAGTGAGTTTACGCATATGTTAATTTTACTGAGAAAAAACCGCCATTTGAAACCAAGTGTGATCAACGGTTGGAATTTTAACGTTAAAAGTCCTTAAATAATTGCGATAATTACCTCAATAATTAAAAAAAAAACTAAATAAATCTTTGTAATTGAATGTTATAAATTTATACGATTGTTTTAAGATGTTTCGAACAAAAACATCTGTTGATCGTCATGTCCAAGAATTGTTTCGTAAAATCACTGATGAAAAGGAGGTGAGTGAGGTTATTTTACGTATATATAGATATACGTATATATAGTAAATAAGCCTATCAACATGTCTCCGGCATTTTTTCGTAATTTCTCGAATAAATTTTCATGCCGGCATTAGTCATTTTTTCTTCCAGATTAATTATATTTATCTTTTATCAGATTAGTTGTGATAACTATATCATTTTATTTTTTGTTTTGACATTTTTTTATAAAATGGCTCTTGTGATTTATTTATTTATTTATTTATTATAAAAAACTTTTTTTTACTTATGTGTCAAGTCAAGGTCAACAATGCATTTTAGAATTTTTTCAATCACTAAAACTAAATTAAAAAACATTTTTTTTAATTTGATAAAAATTATGATACAAAAATTAATTTAGCCTATATTTTATAATTAATGTAACATATGAATTATGGCCAAAAAAAAATTGACATAGAAATTAAAAAAATTAAATTTTTTAAAAATAATTTGTTTGTTAAATAAAATTAAAAAATGTTCAAGTGTCATAATTAAAAGACCTGTCAATTTTTAACATCTAAATTATTATGAAAAAATTTTAATATAAAAATGTCATCTAAAAATTAAATAAAATTATGACATTAAAGTTAGCAGTCACTAGACTATTTTTTAATAAATTTTTTTCTGGGAAATTATTATTAAAATAATTGAATTTTTTATTTATTTAAATTTCTACATGTCAATTTTTTTTTGGGTGTAATTTATATTATTAAGAGAATAAGCAAAACTTTGTAGCCAGTGGATTTATATGATAAAATAAGATTTGATGGTTAAATTTGGTGTCTCACCAATAGTCAATTTATGATAAGTATTAGGCTGGAAATTGCTTTATCTCTAGATACATAATTGAGAAATTATCTTGTATCTCGTGAAATATTGACATTTTTTAAGATATAAGTTCATCTTGATGTTACACTCATCAAGACCTTTCATTTGAGTACCCACATCAATTTTTCATATATTTTTTATATTTATATATTTCACAAATACCATATATATATGAAATATATGAAATATTGATCTGGGTACTTGAATGAAAGCTCTCGATGAGTGTAACTTAATAATGAGATTATATCTTAAAAAATGTCAATAATTAAGAAATTACCTTGTACTTTGTGAAGTATTGAAATTTTTTAAGATATAAGCTCATCTTGATGTTACACTCATCAAGACCTTTCATTTGAGTACCCACATCAATTTTTCATATATTTCATATATTTATATATATTATATATATATGTATATATGAAAAATATATCAAAAATACATGTGGGTACTCAAATAAAAACTCTTGATAAGTCTAACACCTTGATGAGCTTATATCTTTAAAATTGTCAATTGTTAAAAAAGTACTGTACAATTTAACAAAAATTATTTATAATCACAAGCCACGGCAGTCACGTAGTGACTGCCAGATTGCTTATGTTAAATAAATTAATTGTATTAATAAAACATTTTTAATTCCACAGAGATCTCTTCGTTGTTACAACATAGCCAAGCTGTACTACCAAGTAGGTGATTTCGAGTCTGCTCGCAGATATGTATCAAACTATCTCGAGCTAAAAGTAGAGTCAGCAGGAGCCCACAAACTACTAGCTCAAATCTACGAAGCCTTAGGCCAAAAAGAATCAGCTCTAGCACAATACCAACTCTCACTAGAGCTAGATGCTCGCCAGGATGACTTAATCCTAAAAGTCTGCGAGCTTTTAATCGACGTGGATATCAGCTTGGACATCAACCGCATAAAGTACTGGGTGGACCGAGCAGGTGAAAAATTTCCGCACCATCAAATAGTATTCCAATTAAAAGAGAAAATGTTATCCTCCGATCGTTCTGGAATTGATGACGACCTAGAAGGTCTAATTATTTCCGAATTATCAACCCGTCCATCAGACGTAATGTTGCGGGTTAAATTATTGAAGCATTACATCGCTAAAAATCGGATTGATGACGCTTACCGGCACGCAATTGAAGCCGAAGCTAATTACATCTACCGCGACAATCTCCAGTGGTACGAAACTCTGATTGATGTTCTGTCAATCTACAGAGAGACTAATAAATTAAACCAATCATTCTGGATTAATTATCTCGCATCTTGGGAGAGATTCGCTGCGTTATCTTGCAAAGAGGGAGACAAAGCTAAGACAATCCCCGAAGCAACTCAGATTATTCTTAATTTTGATTCTACGCTGCATGAAGTCAAGCAACAGACTCATCAAAGCTCCAGCTTCATTGATCAAATGTTGCATCACATGTGGGGCCAGCTGCATTATCATCTAGCCTGTCTGCTGTTGCGTAAAGCTAAGCGCGAGCAAAAAAACTGGATTGAAACTGCAAGACTCAGCAGTCCGTTGTTACTCAGTGCGTTTCATACTTCTCCGATTGACCTGACTGGTTCCTGGGCTGCTAACTTGAAAGGTTCTTCAAAAACACTGGCGAGCTTATGGCGCAAAGAAGGTAATATAATTTTAATAATAATTAATTATTTATTAATTTGATATTCAATTTTTACATTTAAAAGAAAATTTTATAGAACCTTTTACAAATTATAACAAATAAAAGCCCCAATTATTGATATTAATTTTTATAAAAATTAATACAGCTTCTTTTGATCCTCTATTAATTTAATTTAAAAAAAAAAATATAATTTTAAATTATTAATGGGTGCTCCGAAATGATTCGCTCTATTTATTTAAAAAAAAAAAAAAAAAGTGATGCATGATTTATTAAAAATAATTTAACCAAGTATATCAATATATATGAAAGATTAATTTAATATGTAAATAATTAAATAGAAAAAGAGTACCTTGCTTAATCTATAAGTCTGTAGGTATTATGATAAAAATAGGAAAACTATGCCAAAAATAAATAAATTACTAAACACCAGAATTAATGAAATGTAACAATATGTAATAATATCCGTCCGTGAATAAATCAAGAAGATATAATCGTGTGGTTAGATGAATAATTAATATTAAATAAAAAATGATCCAAATGATAATATGCGAAATATTAAATACATATTAACTATATTTAATATTTAATATTTAATATTGTTTATTCGTTTAAGTAGCTATTACGGTTAAAGTGTTATTCATCGATTTATTTCAGAGCACTCTCAGAATAATCGATGAATAATTAATATTAAATAAAAAATGATCCAAATGATAATATGCGAAATATTAAATACATATTAACTATATTTAATATTTAATATTTAATATTGTTTATTCGTTTAAGTAGCTATTACGGTTAAAGTGTTATTCATCGATTTATTTCAGAGCACTCTCAGAATAATCAATTCACGGGGACCATTTTTTATTTGGCCGAATGTTAAATAAACATCTTTGACATTTAAATTTAAATTTTTAGATTTCTATTATTATCTCAGCAAAAAGTATAAGAAATTTAATAGCTTTTCTATAAACATCATTGTGAATTAAATAACTTCATTAAAAAATATATTTACCATCAGATTGTTCGGAAGCCGGTTATACCACATCCTAGGTTTATTTTTAGACGATACAATTTTGGGTGTTAATATTTAGACCCCTGTCAATAATTGGGGCTTTTACCTGATTTGTTATCATTTGTAAACACCCGTTAATAATTTTAAATTATATTTTTTGTAATAAAATTAAATTAATAGAGAATCAAAAGAAGCTATATTAATTTTTATAAAAATTAAAATTTTTTCCAGTCTGTTAATAATCCATTTTTTTATCAATCTAAAAAAATATAAGGTAAAAGCCCCAATTATTGACAGTCTAAATATTAACACCCTAAATTATTTTTAAATATATTAATCGGTAATAAGAATAACTATCATAAATTTTTATTTCTAATTAATTAAAAAATTGAAAAAAATTACTCAGCTCAAAATATTAAATATTAATTATTAAAAAATAAAAGTACCAGATCAAACCACCAACGTTTATTTTCTTAACAACTTT